CTATCTATCTATCTATCTATCTATCTATCTGTCTGTTTGTCTGTCTGTCTATCTATCTATCTATCCCTTTGCCTATCTATCTATCTATCTATCTATCTATCTGTCTGTTTGTCTGTCTGTCTATCCCTTTATTTATCCCTTTGCCTATCTATCTATCTATCTATCTATCTATCTACCTACATCTCTTGTTGAATTTGTCAGTGTAGGGAGCTACTAATCATAGTTGTCATATAAATAATCATATTAAATGCAAAAACCTGACCTATTTTAATCTCTGTTTCATGCAGTTGGCCCTATCCTGGTTGTCGAGCCTAAACCAGTAACGGTGGATGTAGACTCGGACGTCACTTTAAATTGCAAGTGGGCGGGAAATCCTCCCCTCACACTAACCTGGACAAAAAAGGGTTCAAGCATGGTGAGCATATGCCTGTGGATCTGTTGAGTAAAAGCTACTTCCTATTACGTGTTCAGTTCTTTCGTTCTTCTCTCTTACTAAGATATAGGCTATCCATTTTTTCTCTACAGTTTACTTTTTTGTCTGACTATGACATTTTCCCTCTGACTTTATCTCTCTTCAGTGAGTGTTCTCCATATGTGTCCTTCTTTTCCTGGCTCTGCTTGTCTTCCATATTTATCTTCCAACTGTGTTTTGATGTTGAAGCTGCAAATCCTTCGTTCCATTTGTTTCTTTTTAGATAATGTCTACAGTGAACAGGTTTTACAGCATCTTTTTTCCCTCCCTCTGTCTCTCTCCCTGTCTAATGCACAGGTTTTGAGTAATAATAACCAGCTCTATCTGAAGTCCGTTAGTCAGGCAGATGCTGGTCAGTATGTGTGTAAGGCCATCGTGCCTAGGATCGGAGTCGGCGAGACAGAGGTCACACTCACCGTCAACGGTCAGTACAGCTCTTTTATCCTGTTGTACTAAGAAATGATAAAACACTTTTTTAAAACCATGCAGCTTTCAAGGTTTTTTATCAATATTTAGCTCATTGTGAGTTCTGCGTTTAGTGATTAATCAAGCTTTGATTTAGTTACTAGTTAACCCTTAAATGCATGGATGTTTCGCCAATCATTATTACATATTCGGGTCTTTAGCGACCCGGACCTATATTTTGTTACTTTTGGCAAGGGTTCGATTTGAGCAGATGATTTTACCATCACTGTCATTGACCCAACTGTTGGGCCACAATCTCTATAGGGGAAAAAGCATGTTAAATGCAAATAATGAAATGCAACTAATAGTATAATTGTATTTAGTTAAAATAACATAATAAATAATCTTACCAAGATTTAAAAGGGAAGAGACAACACATTTCTTGGTGATGTCAAAGTTCATGCATCCTCAAACAGTATTTTGGTGGAAATTCATCTGTCATTTGGTAGAAGCTATAACCAAATAAGGCAGATGGCAGCTTAGAGAGGCTGTGTGACATCCCTTTATGAGAATAGAAAGTATGATATCAATACATTTCAGTGTATAGTTGTTGTTGTTGGTTTTTTTGTACATTCAAATTCAGTTCTGGGTCATAAAGCCAGGTCAACAAAAAACTACAACTACAGATCAACTAAAACTGTAGTCAACTAAAATAAAATAAAATATAAAAAAAACGGTCAAGGCAACATTTAGCTTAACAATGTATTAAAATAATTAAATCTAAAAAAATAAATAAACACTATATAGACATAAAAAAATAAATAATAAATAAACCAAACTAATAATGAAATTAAAACAGAAAATATAAAAGCTAATTCAAAATATTAAAAACTATAAAAGCATCTCAGTGATATTAAAATAACACTGCCTAAAGCAAAACCAGTATCCACCAATATCAACTACATAATAGTATATGTTTTAAGCAGTTTTACTGATAATATAGTTTCTGTTGTTTATGCTTTTTGTTTTGGACTGTTTTTTGTGCAGGTCCACCCATCATCTCAAGCGAACCGGTCCAGTATGCAGTTCGAGGGGAGAGAGGGGAAGTCAAGTGTTACATTGCCAGCACCCCTCCTCCTGACAAGATCGTAAGTTACATTACAATTACTTGCATTTACATTCATGCTACTTTCCACAGAAATGTACATAAAGATTTCTAATCAATTCTAATAACTGATACTTTACCCTTTTCTTATTATTCACCATCTGGATACCCATGGGAAAGCTGGTTTCAAAATGTAATTTTAGCCTGAGAAAGCAGATGAACTCACCTTAAACCAGTTTCTTGAGTTTTTAGTTTAAGACTAACTCAAACTAGGCCTGAGCCCAAAGTAACACTCTCTGCTGTAGATGGTTCTGCTGTAGCTGCATATATGACACATCCCTTCTCTGAACTACAAGTGATTCTAATTTAAAATGACGCGCAGCTCAGTCCTGATGCATCTCCAGGATGAGATTTATGAAATATGAAATATGGGAACAGAGAAGTCGTTCTTTTAATGCCGCGCAGCCTTTTCAAATGTCTTGGTTTGTGAGGTAAATGGAAGCTTACCATGAACATGTGGAGGTATGCATTTTTAAATATTCTCACAGCTCTGCATGAATAATACAACAGTTTTAGTGGTTTTGAAAGGAGAACTGGTGCTTTCTCACCATTATCCAACCCCGTGTTTCAGCACGGAAAGGCCATTTATTCCATTGCCGGTGTGAAATATGTGTTCATGCGGGCAATGTGAAGCAGATACAGTTCAGGTGCATTTTATGCACTTATGCTTTTTAAATCCTAAATATTTATAAAGGATTTCTTTTTTCACTCCTGTATGAAATGTACTGATATACGGTATTATTTTTGGTCCATTTGCTTCTTGCAGGACCTGCAACGGCAGATTTTTTTAGTTTAATTTTATACTATTTATTTCTCAGCCATTACTTGATAGAATTTAAATTATTTTCCTTTGGAAATTTCATTCTTTTATATGTACAAAATTATAACAGTCAAAAGTTTGAAATAATTTTTTTCATGTTTTTAAAAGAAGTCTGCATTTATTTGATCAAAAATACAGTAGAAGCTGTAAAGTTATTGAAATAATTGGTTTCTATTTGAATATTTTAAAATGTAATTTATTTAGTTCTGTGATGGCAAAGATGAATTTTCGGCAGCCATTACTCCATTGTGCAGTGTCTGAAGATGAAAATGAAATTGAAATATGAAAAAAAAAACACTACAGTATGTTTTTATTATTATTGTTATATTATAAATTGTTTTATATTTTTTATGTATTTTTATATTTTCATGTGGAGCCCAGGAAGACAAGTGACTGAAGCATTTTGTGGATCCAAATAAAGATTGTTGTATATTTTCTGCAAATAAACAGATCCTTTGGGACTTTGAGGATTTAAGCATATATAATTATTTATTTATTTATATAAAGAGAGAGAATAATTATCGGTGTCGTCTTGAACCTGCGCCTTTCTTCCTGCAGATTTCCCAAAATTCATCCCATCGCTGACACATACTGGAGATTTATGTGAAGTCCATGTGAGTGATCTCTCACACCATGTGTTTGTTTGTTGTGTGTTTGTCCCAGGTGTGGGCATGGAAGGAAAATGTGTGGGAAAAAGAGAAGGGGACCCTATCAGAACGATACACAGTAGAACAGAGCAAACTGACCACACAGGGCAGTGCAGTGCTGTCCACCCTCACCATCAACAACGTCATGGAGTCAGACTTCCAGTCCACATACAACTGCACCGCGTGGAATTCATTCGGACCTGGGACCATGATCATCACCCTGGAAGAGACCGGTGAGGATATGTGCCTGCATGTGCACATATATAATACTTCTAAATAAGGACAATCATGTGATTTTCAGTTATATTGAAGTTGCGATCTTGAAATCATATGTGTGGTCAATCTGGCATCAAACAAAGAAAGTGTTTTTTATATAAGGTACAGTTTAGTCCATTAGTCATGAAACTTTGTACAGTTCATGTCTTCAAAAATTCACTGTATACTGCGTCATCTTTAGAGTACAGTAGAGTGCTCTACTGAAAGTAAAAGAGCACAGTCTTCAATAATAAATAGCTTGAATGGAATCACCTAAATCTGCTTCGGGTCACATCAACTCAGGTTAGGAGTACTCTCTCTATTTAATATACAGTTTGTGAGTACATTTATACTGCTACGTTAAAGCCACAGTGCAATGGTTAATGCACATGTTCATGGCACACATTGAGTCTGGTCTGCATCATATCACGATAACATTCCCTCTTTCCTTTTGCCTTCATATCTATCCTTTTCTGTCTAAAAATAAAAAATGCATCGTGGTGCTTCTCTTTCTCTTTGTCTTTTTCATTGGCATAGAAATAGTGCCGGTCGGGATCATTGCAGGAGGCACCGTCGGCTGTTCGATTCTGCTTATCCTGTGTTTACTAGCATTAGTGCTGTTTTTGTATCGGCAACGCAAAGGAAGTAAGTTATCAAAGATCACTGATACAAATAACACTGAGTTTTTTTGTTCTTAATTTCTTTTCACAATGATTAGGTATTTAAAATGATTAATTATATTGTACAGTTCAAAAGTTTGAGGTTAGCAAAATGTTTTAAATGTTTTTGAAAGAGTGCTCATTACAAATACAGGAACATTGTGAAATGTTATTACAATTTAAAACAACTTCCTATTTTTATGTATTTGCTAAAATGTCATTTACTTACATTTTCAGAATCATTACTCCAGTCTTCAGCTCCACATGATCCTTCAGAAATCATACTAATAAGATTTGGAGCTCTAGAAACATTTCTTATTATTATTAATGTTAACCACACATAAGTATATTCTTTGATAGATAGAAAGTTTAAAAAACAGCACTGAATAATTTGAAATTTTATAGTCATTGTTGATTGTAATGTCTTTTAATTTAACGCATCCTTCTGGGATTAAAACTTCAAAAAACAGTAATGTAAATTATTTAACTATATTATTAAAAGTATTTTTTTATACATTTCTTATTAAAATAATTTCTCAGCCTGTCTAGTGAGCTGTGTAAACATCACCTAATTTAACCCAACAGTAATCTGAAGTAGTGAGTCCTTCAAACGGCGACATGCAAAGTTTGTCTTTGAGAGTGTAGAAGTAAAAGTGCCCTTACCAAAAAGTAGTATACTTCTATGTCCCTTTATGTAGTAAGTATACAAATATCAGTGTACTAGTAGTATACTTGTAAGTGTACTATTTCAATACTCCTTGGGACTAAATTGGCCCACTTTCTAGTATATAAAAGTATACTTTTACGTATACTTGAAGTATAACTCTAAATGCTCACAAAACCCAAGGGCATATTTAGCAATATTTACGAACATCAATAATAGCCACAAACACTTCAAAAAGCATGCTCAGGGCGGTGATGAATCAGATGTTTGCTCTCCAGGTCGTCGAGGGGTCACGCTCGGCAAGCCAGATATCAAGGTAGAGACCATAAACAAAGAGACCCACAGTCTGGAGGAAGACTCGGGGAGCGTCTCCACGGCAACACGCATGGTTAAGGCCATGTACTCTGTGAGTAATTTTGACAACACACACAGCAATAACTGAAGGATAGTAGAGGGACTTTGAGACTTGAAGCTTTTAACACCAAACATAATACTTGAATTATTTAACATTAAATATTACTGATCCTGAAAACAAACATTTTTTCTAATTATTCAGTATTGCATTAAACATTTTGTTGAGATTAGCCGAGTTAAAACTCATGAACAGTTTGGTTTAGCTGAGTTTTGTTCACAGTATTATAATGTATAATGTATTCTGGACTATTTTGTACATTTTGTACATTTTGATCATTTATATGGTTAATTAAATTAATATTTGTAATTATTAATATTACTGTGCTAATATTAAGTGAAAATGAATCTTGATGTAATGTTGTGTCTTTTGCCAGTGGTGATTGCCTTGTCTTGTGAATCTTCTGAAGATGATACAACAGCACTGAAATGCTTTTTTTTTTATTATTAACATTAACACTAATTAATTGATAACACTGAAATGCACAATTATCGACCACAGGATTTGATCTGTGAACAAATTGTCCCTAAAATTATTCAATATTATTTCACTAACACTTGTGTTACACAATGCTTTCAGTACTAAATTTCCTAAACTTGCCTAACACCATAACAAAGCCACTTCTATCTTTTACAAAAATGAATTACTAATCATCTTCCTCTAATGTATTTCCTCTTAAATAACATTTCCAAAGCTGTAAAATTAATCCTTTTTCTCTCTCAACCTCCCTCTCTTCCTTTATATCCTCCTTCTCTTCTCCTCCTCTTCTCTCCTGTTGGTTTTCCTCCCCTCTTACGTTGCATCTCTCTCCCCCTCTTGGTTGCTCTCTTGTCGTTTATGGTTTAGTTTTTACCTTCTGTGACCCTCTCTCCCTCCTCCCAGCCTTTTAAAGATGACATTGACCTCAAACAGGAGTTACGCAGTGACACGCTGGACACGCGCCAGGACTACGAGCTCAAGGTGAACAGACACACCGATACCTCTGCACATACTAATATAAGCGATATATGACCTGTACTTTGTTTTACTAATGCATGCAGCTTCTATAGACCTCAGCAGTCGAGATGATACAACAGCACTGAAATGCTTTTTTTTTTATTATTAACATTAACACTAATTAATTGATAACACTGAAATGCACAATTATCGACCACAGGATTTGATCTGTGAACAAATTGTCCCTAAAATTATTCAATATTATTTCACTAACACTTGTGTTACACAATGCTTTCAGTACTAAATTTCCTAAACTTGCCTAACACATAACAAAGCCACTTCTTTTACAAAAATGAATTACTAATCATCTTCCTCTAATGTATTTCCTCTTAAATAACATTTCCAAAGCTGTAAAATTAATCCTTTTTCTCTCTCAACCTCCCTCTCTTCCTTTATATCCTCCTTCTCTTCTCCTCCTCTTCTCTCCTGTTGGTTTTCCTCCCCTCTTACGTTGCATCTCTCTCCCCCTCTTGGTTGCTCTCTTGTCGTTTATGGTTTAGTTTTTACCTTCTGTGACCCTCTCTCCCTCCTCCCAGCCTTTTAAAGATGACATTGACCTCAAACAGGAGTTACGCAGTGACACGCTGGACACGCGCCAGGACTACGAGCTCAAGGTGAACAGACACACCGATACCTCTGCACATACTAATATAAGCGATATATGACCTGTACTTTGTTTTACTAATGCATGCAGCTTCTATAGACCTCAGCAGTCGGGTCCCATGTGTAAAAATCCTATTCATTTCTCTGCAGGAAAATTATCCTATTAACCTTTCTTAAAAGACCAAGCATTAGGTCCAAGATTGTTTTTGGTTGGGATATGCTGCTGTAGAATCCATAAGTGTGATTTTTAACTTCCTTTTTAAATAAAACTTGGTAATTTGTCGAATTCCCTGTGAAGAACTTGACTACCAATAATATTAAACCCGCCAATCAGAGTATAATAGATAATAATCAAGTCTCCCTAATATTTCTGCATGAATATTTTGCTATAAAATTTAAATATATGGTATGTTATATTTATAATAAAAGGTCTATAATGTAGTGTACAGTTAGTTCAGTTAATAATGTACAGTAAAATCGGGTTTGTCTGAATATTATTTGCAATGCTTTGTATAAGTAGTTTATTCCATAATAAAGTTAATAAATTATTTTATGACAGTCAAGAAAGTCATATATATTTTTTCCCTAATTTTCAAATGCTTTTTGTTTCAAATTTAAGCTTGCAATGTTATTCATGAAGGATCGCTTCATAGCTTAAAACTCTTTATTGTAAAATTTTTTTAAATCCCTATGGAGAAAATGAATGGGAAAAATATTTCCAAAATGTGACACTGCTGTGTTTTTTTTAAAAAGCTGAATTTTCAATAGCCATTACTAGTCTACATTATTACAATACCTGTCTTCAGTGTCACATGATGCTTCAGAAATCATTCTATTATACTGATTTGGTGCTCAAGTAACATTCATTCATTATTATTATACATTTTTAAACCAGATGTGCTGCTTAATATATTTGTGTGAAAACCGTGATACATTTTTTTTTAGGATTCTTTGATGAATAGAAAGTTCAAAAGAACCGCATTTATTTGAAACAATTTGTAACAATGTAAAAGTCTTTACAGTCACTTTTGATTAATTGAATGCATCTTTAGTTCCACCTCTAGAATGTAGCATTTATCATAAAACACCAACAGTATTACCACAATGCATGTTTTGCCTTATTGTGAAAGAGAATAAAAAATGTACAAAAGGTACTTAAAATCGAGTGTTCACATATGAGCTACACTGAACATGCCTGTTGTCTTTTGCAGGACCCGACAAACGGCTACTACAACGTGCGAGCTTCCACCCATGATGAGGGACGTCCCACTTCCAGATCCATGCACTACTCAGACTATCGCACCTCCGGACAGCCAGGGGGCGCCACGGCCGTTGTGAGCAGTAGCTCAGGAACTCCCGGAGCTACGGCAGGCCCGGGAACACCGAGCAGCTTGGCTCCGGGGTCCCGAGTAGGTTGCTACGACCCTCGCCCTCCTTCTAGACTCTCGCACAACAGCTACGCCCAATTCAACACGTTCACCCGCGCCGGACAGTCCCAGCAGCCTCCGCCCAGTTCTGGCCCACAGACTAGCGACTTCACTGCTGAATGCAGCCTCTTGGACTCTACCGCTCAGCTCGGATACGAAAATTATGGCTACCCGCACTATCCAACATTTCGGATGGGTTTTGGTCCGCCTAGCCTCGCCCCGTTAGAAGGCGGGCCGGCGTATGAGCTGTACGGAGTCGGGCCGAGCGTCGGCGCAGGAGGCGGAACCGGAACCCCAGAGACTGGACTTGGGAAATACGGCAGTTCCACACGGTTCTCCTACACCTCCCAGCATTCCGATTATTCCCACCGACACACACAGAGGATGCAGACACACGTGTAAAAGAGAAGCGTCACGTGTACGTAACATAATTACGCTGATGTTATGCTGATATCGGCCATATAAGTACACACACTCACACAGATACACAGGACGGAAATAATGAATGAAACGGAGATAAAGACTGAGGGTGAACAAACAAAGAGCAGCTCAGAGTAAACGGAGGCCGAGAAATGAGAATGGGAGGCAGGGCAGGAGCGTCTTGACGTTCATTTCTCAGCTCCAGGAGCTGAAAGCGAAAGTCACAATCAAGAAAGACTGGAGTCTAGAAAAGATCTAAGATCTTTATACCGTTCACTAAATCCTGAATGCTTTTAATAAGCATGATCACAAAGGTAATTCCTGAGAAATGAAGGGTGCCTCTTATAGGCTTGTAGTCTGTTTAACAGTGGTCTCTGACAGAGATGGTCATGTGAGATACAGTACATGTATGAATTCTCTTCAATGGCTTCTTCAACTTCAAACTCTCCTTAAGCTTAACTCAGTTTAAAGGGCATTTAATGACAAATTGCACAATATACAGTGGGGTCCAAAAGTCTGAGACCACCAAAATTATTATTTTTTCATTGAAATTTTGACGTAAACCGAAAATTTCAGGATTATAAAAAATGTAAACCAGGAAAAGCTAAATGAAGCAAAATATTTAAGGTTCTACACAATTATAGGTCACTAATCAAAAGTAAATTTTGATCATGAGAAGAACTTTTTACAAAGGATTTTCTTGCTTTCATTAAAGCCCAAGATGCTCTTTGAAACTTCCTTAAATCATGCTGGATTACATGGACCATCTGTTGAAAAATCTGGAGATGTTTTGGACAAACTGCAGAATCCTGTATGATAGATTTAAATATTGTAATAATGTGTTAAATATAGTAAAGCAATGGTTTTCAACCAGGGGACTTCCAAGGAGTCTCAAGATGACTGAAAATGATTTAAAATAAGACAAAACAAATATTAAAGTATGATACAACTACTACAAATTGGGAAAACAACCTTTTTTCTTTGAAGAACCAGGGTTCTTGCTGCCTTAAAAACATGGATAATGTATAAGGCAGCCTAATTTTAAAAGTGTGATTTCTAGACCTGGATAAGTCACATAAATTAATAAAATCATATAACTCCTTTCCCATTTTTATAAAGAATTACATTTTTTAAGATTTTTTTTAATCTTAATATTTATCTGGTAATTCACAAACAACTGAAAAAATGAGCCAATTTATTAGAAAATTATTAAACATTAGAATATTACAAAAGAAGGCTTATAGACCCCACTGTACACGGTTACCTATGTCACAAAATATCCAAATATCTTTATTTTTCCATTCATTCTCAAATGAAGATCTGCATTCGACAAAGGAAATGAAGAGCACACGATACTCGTACAATACTCTTGATGACCAAAGCAACGTATTTTGAGTCTAGATGATTCTTTATTATTTTGTGTGTAAATCTGCATCTACCTGGCTATCCAGCTTGCTGAGCTACCTCGTTAAACAGGTTACTAGCCTTCCAGTGCAGTGACCAATCCATTAGCAGAGCAGCTGTATTTGCGCAGAAAGGTCCAAATCGATTTAAAAAAGCACTTTTTGGCAAAAAAAAGCACCCTTTAAATTTCAACATTGTGATGGAGAATAGTTGAGGAAGCCATTTAACTGTTTTCAGACATGGTCAGCGACAGCCATTTTAGTTCACTATCCTACAAATAGTTCAGAACCATGGAATATATATATATATATAAATCTATATACATATTCATATATAGGAATGCCCCACTCTTTTCCATGGTGCTTTTGTAGTGGGGTCATTGTTTGCACTGCATTCCAGTATTCTAGCTTAGATTACCCTCATAATCGATATGTAATCTCTCATTTGCACACTAGGCTAGAGCGTTCTCTCGCTATGTTTCGAATATTACCGAAAATCTTCTTTTTTTGTCATATTTCTGTAAGTGATTCTGGACCAAAGGTTCAACGTTAGAGTATCAGTCTTTATTTGGGTGATATTCACCTCAACGAACAAGAAAATATGCAGATTTGTTTGTTATCGTTGTTTGCGAATTTATTCGGTCACGAGTGACCTAGAGTTTTTCTTCTTCTTTTTTTTGAGGGTTGGGAACAGCAGAGAAGGTCTGATCCAGCCTTAGGTATCCAAACTCACCCTTACTGATCTGAGATCAGGCTGCTATCACATTCGTCTTAAAGATCAAATTGGAACTAATTTAAGGTCAAAGGTCTGGAGTGGTTTTTAACGTCTCGCTCCCCAGAGGAGCGAAACGCTAGTAGGACTTTCATGTAAGTTTGAGATCGGAAAGTCTTTCACTCACTTATTCACACAGACACACACACCTGATATTTGTGCCAAACGACTTAAAGTATTTTCCGCCAATTACGAAAAACTACCTTACGGGGACCAGAGATGGTCTTTGGCTATGAACTGTCTTCAACGGGTTTTGAAGGATGCCATTATCAAAGCAATGATGACAACGGAGAAACATGAGGATGAAGACAATCCTTCTGAACAGCGAGGTACTCGCTCTCTGCGACTAGTCTTCGTCTTCGTCCGCATTTCGAACGAGCCTTGTAAATACTTTCCCATGTGTAATTCCGACTTCAAGTATTATTTTACATCATCCAATGTGATGCACTCTTTAAATGCAGTATTGTTATGTTTTCAATTGCGCGAAGAAGGTTGACAAACACCATAGCGATGGTACTTTCTGACTCGGTATAGTACAAAGAGGATGATGGTAGCTTGGTTGGAGCCACTACGATACCAAGGAGGAGGATCCAGAAACATCTTGATGACCTGCTTGAGCTGCCAATCTCTCATCCTTTATATTGATGGCCTGGGGAATATCTTGTGGGACATGTGACCCACTGGACAGTATTTGCATTCCCCATCCCATCTAAGAACTTGAAGCTCCATGAAGACGAGAAGAAGGAATTTATGAAGGAGTTAACAAAATAAAGAGTGGCCTTAGGAAAACATGACTTTTATATTCCCTCACTTTATAAACCGGCTTAAGGCCAGAGGAGTGCGTGCAGATGACGGTATGTGTGTTTTTGTGTGTGCGATTGAGCGCGAGTGCGAGTATATGATAATCTTTATGTAATCCGTTCATTTACTTCTCTCACGTTCCTGCTCCAATATTTTCTTCTGCTGGTAGGAGTGTATCCTGTATAATTGTGTCTTAGAAATTAAACGTTGACCTTACTGTACTGTTCTTGGTAGCTGAAAAATGTTTGACAGATGTACAACAAAAGTTATTGATTTTTTATTATTTCCCTTTGATTTTTTCCAATATTTTTTAAAAATGTTACGTAATTATTTTTTCACAGTATATCAGAAATAAAAGCACTGTTTTTCTAAGAATCAATGAAGTATTGAATGCGTGGTTTATATACAGTATTTATACAGTTTATTGTTCATTCTTGGGTTAGGGAAAATGTTTCCTAGCACTAGTTTAATTAGAAATTGGTGACAGCAACAGTAAAATAGGGAGAAAAATATGACAACATTATTGTTTACGGGAACGCATACAATTTTCATGAATGTACAGTAGTAATATAGACCCAATATTAATACAGTTTTTAGAGAAAGTTCCTTAAGGACCTGTCCACTGCACATACACTACACAATAAATATTATTATTATTACAATTTAAAATAAATGTTTTCTTTTTAAATACATTTAAAATGTAAGTTATTGTTGTAATGTTAAAGCAGAGTATTTAGAAATCTTCAATGCCACATGATCCTTCAAAAATCATTCCATTTCCTGATTTTTGGCCCAATAAACATTTACTACTATTATTGTTATCGAAGTTAAAACAGCTGTGCTGTGTTTTGGTGGAAACTGATACATTTTTCAGGATTCATTGATAAATAGAAAATTCTAAATAACAGCCATAATAACAATATTTTGTTACATGATAAATGTCTTTACTGTCACTTTTCATCAATTGAATGCATCCTTGCTGAATAAGGATGTATCATGCTATAATACCATGTTTACCACAGTATTTATTGCACCTGCACAGCACGCTGTGACCGGATCATTGAGTCGGTGAATTGAGCGCAAGAGTCGATTCGCGAATGAATCAGTCAGTACGATTCGTTTGATACACTGAAAGGAACCGGCTCAGAAGAACGATTCGCTCATGACGGTCAATCGATTCTTCGGTCTTAACGATTCTTCAAAAAGACTATTGGATCTAGGGTTGCCAACTTCAGAAAAGGAAAATAAGGGACAATCGTGGTTTTTCATAGAAATATAAGGGACAGAATAAGGGATACACACACAGGCCTATTATATATACACACACACACACACACACACACACACACAGAGGTATATCTTTTAGATTTGAATTTTTTTTTTATAAATGGAGTCATCAATGTTGCATTTATTTGATCAAAAATACAGAAAAAAACAGTAATATTGTTAAATATTATTGCAATGTCTAATATTGGTTTCCTATCTTATTATACTTTAAAAATATAATTTATTTCTGTGACGCAGCACTGAATTTTCAGCATCATTACTCCAGTCCTCAGTGTCACATGATCCTTTTATAAATCATTCTTATTCTGATTTATTATCAGTGTTGAAACTGTTGTGCTGCTTAATATTTTTTGGAACCTGTGTTCCATAAACAAAATAAAAAGTTAAAAAGAACAGAATTTATTCAAAATAGAAATCTTTTCTAACAATATCACTTTTTATCCATTTAACACATCAAACTTTTGAACGGCAGTGTATATACTGTATATATAGGCTATAGGCAAACTACCTCATGAACAGTTAAATGTTCTCCCATTGTACTCTCCTTATATACTATTTATCACTTTACATCCTAGTACATCCCTACAACTTTATTTTTTATTCTATTCATATTCTACAGTATTTTATCTATAGCACACCTGTACATATTTATCCTTTGTGTGTGT